TTTTTATTAGTGATATTGCAGAAGGTCTTGATGGTAAGGTATGTCTTTTTGCTGATGATACTAAGATATGTAACAGGGTTGATGTTCCAGGAGGGATAAGCCAAATGACAAATGATTTAGGTAAACTAGAAAAATGGTCAGAATTGTGGCAACTGACATTTAATGTGGATAAGTGCAAGATAATGCATCTTGGACGTAAAAACCCAAGGGCAGAGTACAGAATATTTGATAGAGTCCTAACCTCAACATATGAGGAAAGGGATTTAGGGGTGATTATTTCTGATGACTTAAAGGTAGGCAGACAATGTAATAGAGCAGCAGGAAATGCTAGCAGAATGCTTGGTTGTATAGGGAGAGGTATTAGCAGTAGAAAGAGGGAAGTGCTCATGCCATTGTACAGAACACTGGTGAGACCTCACTTGGAGTATTGTACACAGTACTGGAGACCGTATCTTCAGAAGGATATTGATACCTTAGAGAGGGTTCAGAGAAGGGCTACTAAACTGGTTCATGGATTGCGGGATAAAACTTACCAGGAAAGGTTAAAGGATCTTAACATGTATAGCTTGGAGGAAAGACGAGACAGGGGGGATATGATAGAAACATTTAAATATATAAAGGGAATCAACACAGTAAAGGAGGAGACTATATTTAAAAGAAGAAAAACTACCACAACAAGAGGACATAGTCTTAAATTAGAGGGACAAAGGTTTAAAAATAATATCAGGAAGTATTACTTTACTGAGAGGGTAGTGGATGCATGGAATAGCCTTCCAGCTGAAGTGGTAGAGGTTAACACAGTAAAGGAGTTTAAGCATGCGTGGGATAGGCATAAGGCTATCCTAACTATAAGATAAGACTAGGGACTAATGAAAGTATTTAGAAAATTGGGCAGACTAGATGGGCCGAATGGTTCTTATCTGCCGTCACATTCTATGTTTCTATGTTTCTATGTTTCTATGCATGGATTCGAAGGTCATTGAGCGCTCATACCTCTATGTCTGATGGAGGGTGAGTGAGCATTAGGTCTCCTATTTGTATACTTGTGCCTTTAGGTTGGTGATGTACACCCTGTATAGGCATGAACATTTTTAAGGAGTTGACAGGAAAGAAGGTAGAGGTAGAGCAATAAAGAAGCGAAAACGAGAGGGGTGGAGGGGTAGGAGGGATCAGGGATAGGTGGGAATTCCTCATTTTCGGGCAGAGTACAACATAGCGGTGGCGTGTCCGTCAGCGGTTAGTGTAGTCCTCCCATAGTTCCCAGGTTACAATTGTTGTTTCTTATGTTACATATGGTCCCCATCTGATGAGATATCTACTTACAACACCCCCTCACGTATCCCATAAGTGGGGATTATACCATTGTATGCTGTTTATACCAGAGCTAGTTTTTAGCTCTCTAAAACGTGAGGATGACCTTATAGACCTTTTTTATTGGCTGCTACCTATTTGGGTTTTATTGCACTATTAGATTTTCTTTTCTCTTTCATACGGATTCCACGAACCCCTTGATCCCACTGCTCCATAGACGTCTCTACCTCAGATAGAACTGTGATTGTTCTATCATCCCAAGGTTTTACTGGACTCCTTTTGGACTGCTCTATATTACTACTTGCTGATAGTTAATTGTACATATTATCTCTGTGGCGCCACCTTTTTCTCCTTCCTTACACCTATATACCTATAGGGCCTGTGAGTGAGTCCTATCCTTTAGGTGTGCTACCTTTTTTTAAAAATTTAAGCGCTGATCCTTCTGTACACTTTTCACTTTTTACTCTCCACGGTGCATGTTGATGTTATCTCGGCTTCCCGTCTTACTCTCCAAGACGCATGTTGATGTTATCTCGGCTTCCAGTCTTACTCTCCATGGTGCATGTTGATGTTATCTTGGCTTCCAGTCTTACTCTCTGTAGAATATTGCATATTCTATGTTTCTATTGATTATATATGGATGTGTGGATTGACATAAGTAACAGATGGTATAAGTCACAAGGCTTTCTTTGTCCGAGAGGAATGTAAGTTGGGGGTTTTGTCCTTATATGGCTAGAGTTAAACTCTAACGTCAGTATGGACACATCTATATAGTAACAGAGGGACACGAGGTCGCTCTCTCACTTGGCTCTTGGCTCTGGGCTCTCTCTGGCTCTCTCTCTCGATGTAAAGATGTAAGGATGTAAAGAAGTCCAGCAATTACAATCTGCTGTTGACTGTCCATTATCCTGTAACATCATTTGTTGTTTTATTATGTATCAGTAACTAAGAATAAACCTGAAGAAACCATAAGTCAGATTGCGTATTAGTACTTTTTAATAATATAGACATATATTATTATGGCGAGCATTTGGCCCAAGACTATATATACAAAAGACGTGTATATATATAGCAATCAGCTGAAGAAAAGAAGAAATTAAGAAGATTTAACAGTGACGATTCCAACCAGATTTTACACTCTCCATGACGCATGTTGATGTTGTCTTGGCTTCCGATCTTACTCTCCATGGTACATGTTGATGTTATCTCGGCTTCCGGTGTTACTCTCCATGGTGCATGTTGATGTTATCTCGGCTTCCGGTGTTACTCTCCATGGTGCATGTTGATGTTATCTCGGCTTCCGGTCTTACTCTCCATGGTGCATGTTGATGTTATCTCGGCTTCCAGGCTTACTCCCCATGGTGCATGTTGATGTTATGTAGGCTTCCAGTCTTTGATGATAAACTTTTATCTATCCATAGTTCCCACAAACGTTTCAGGTAGTCTGTTTTGTGTCAGCTGTTGTAGCAGCAGTCAGAGAGGTCTAAGTTCTCACTTTGTATCCATGGATGATTTATTCCATTAGCCCACTTATCTTCCATCAGACATGGACCTTGATTGATGAATTAGGATATAATTCATCAGGTGTCTTGCCCAGGACACCTACTGGTAGGGAGGCCTGACCAGAATTTTAATATATATTTAGGAAACCAACATCACAGAGGGTATATCCAGCCCTGAATACAAAATATAAAACATATTACAAATATCCCAGTGACACCCAACATAGAAGAATGAAAGTCAAGTGACAGTCAGTATAGAATAAAGATAGCTCAGCCGTGGTATAAATAAATAAATTCAAACTCACATGAAATAGAACAGCATAGACTGTAGATGTATGAAGAGAGAATCTTCACAGCTATAAACAAATCCCAGTGTCTTCTGTCATTTATCGATTGATAATCAATGAAAGCGTCTGGCTGCAGAACAGGCAGGGAGATGTGCCCGGGGACCCCAAGAAAGAAGTCAAAACGCACTGAGTGACTACTGGCACCATAACTACTTCTGCAATATGCAGTGCTTATGGTGATTACAGTATTCCTTTAATCTAATAGTGGTTTGGCATGCTAGTAGCCTATTCACCCAAGTCAAATCCTGCATCCCACACTCAGGGCTATAGGTCCCCAAGCCACTATTCAGCGGTGGAACTAATGCAGATCAGGCCCTGGCGCAATATATATATATTTTTTTACAATGAATGCTGATATTTAAACAGCATTAAAACATGTTTAAACAGATATAACATGTTTTGCTGTACAATGATTATGTAATGATCTCGAAATTTGCATTGTCTGACGTGCTGTCTGGGCACTCCAGTCCCGCTCCGGGGCCAGGGCGCACAGTTTGAGAGCAAATGGACCGCATCTGATATGGGATCAAGAGGTTAAAACCGGGAGGAAGAAGGAGGAGACTGGGGAGCGGGGGCCTTGGCCTCTCTCTTTCCGCTGGAGGCGGACTGGGGGAGTGCCGATGCGGCCGCGATCTGGTCAGAAGTGAGGCGAAGGGGGGGGGACGGGAACTTGGGAAGACATGGAAATCTAGATTAGCGGTAAAACTCCCTAAACGACCAACTCCTGACACAAGCCCTCATTTCCGAGTTACCCCTATAAGAACTTCACCTGCTACACGCTAACCCGTGTAACCCTTTCTGTCCGAAGACATAGTGACAAACACTATAGCCCAATAGCCACACGCACTGGAACCAACTGTTCCTAACCACATTGTGCACCATCCATGCACCACATTCCTCTTCGGGGAATCCTGTACATATTTATTCCCTATGTTCACATCCGACCCCAACCTAAACCATCCAAGTTTTGAACTCCCTTAATAAAACGCTACTCATCACCAAATGCCAATCATACACACCGAATACCGATGTCACGATTTCGAAAAGCACTATAACTTACCTTAAAAATTCATCACAATACGCTCCATTAACGTTCGCGGACTAAATATGCCGACGAGTCCTACTGAGACGAGTCCTACTGGACTCAGCGAAAAAAGACAAAATAGATGTCCTATGCATTCAAGAGACACACTTTGTACAAAACCGCACGCCTGAATTTGCGCTCAGGGACTATCCGACCCAATACCACTCATCCCACTCATCCAAAACCAGAGGTGTATCCATACTTGTACACAACTCCCTTACATTCGAACTCTTACAACTCAAAAAGGATATACGAGGAAGATACATTATTCTACACTGCAAGATCAACAACAAGACATACACATTAGTCACAACATATTTCCTGCATCATGTGCTCTCCAAGATACCAGCGCCACAATTGCCCTATTTGATTATGTGCGGTGACTTAAACCACATACTACACCCCCAATTAGACACGATGGTGCCCCCGCAAACCCGAAGACACACATCTCTCACATCCAAATGCAAAGCGCTCACCAAATTACTTATGGAATATGACATATATGACGCTTGGAGAACTAAGCACCCCGATGACCAAGAATACACCTACTTCTCCCCCATGCACAAGACACACTCGAGGATAGACCATGCACTAGTGGCCCGAACATTTTTACCCTCTATAGAAGATTGTCACATAGGTGACATAATTTGGACGGACCACGCCCCAATAGACCTAACCCTAACGGACACCTTCCTACATAGGGGGAAAACCCCGTGGCGCCTGCCTGACTACTTACTAAACAACCATCAATTTAAAATGTCGTTACAATCAGAACTCACCTCATACTTTCATACAAATGACACACATGACGTTTCCCCTGAGACAATATGGCAGGCACATAAGACGGTTCTAAGAGGCCTGGCAATAAGTAAAGCAGCCTACATCAAACGAACAGCACAACAAGAATACAATACTCTCCTAAAGACATTGCGAGACCAAACAAATGAACATCTACTCAAACCAACAGAGACAGGACTAAACGCTATAACGCAAACAAACAAGAAACTTAATGAGTATCTGCTAGCCAAGACAACGTCCACACTACAAAGACTTCACACCCACACGTACTGTCAGGGCAACAAAGCGACATAAACAAAGCCAATCTAAAATCCCTTATCTCAACCTGCCAGACGGCACAAAACCTTTTGACCCTCAAGACATAAACAACAACATTGCATTGTACTACACTTTGCTGTACAATCTCAAAAATGACCCCAACACGCACCAACCAACAAGCCAAGAAATACAAACATTCCTACTGCAAGTTAATCTTCCCACGCTGAACGCAAGTCAACAAGACGCTCTACAAGCCGAAATCACACTTTCAGAGCTTACAGAAGCTATCGTGGCCCTCCTGCCGGGGAAATCACCGGGCCCGATGGATTCACGAACACTTACTACAAAACATATTCCGACACCCTAGGCCCGTACCTACTCAAAGCACTGAATCATATCATAGACACAGGAACTATGGCACCAGAAATGCTCCTAGCTCATATTGCAACAATACCAAAACCCGGAAAACCACCGACTACACCCCAAAACATGAGACCCATATCCCTACTAAACACTGACACGAAACTCCTAGCAAAAATGTATGCAAATAGAGTATCACATATGCTCCCCTTACTAATACACGAGGATCAAGTGGGGTTTGTCACAGGCAGACAGGGAGCAGACGGCACAAGGAAACTACTCAATCTCCTGCACAACGCACGGCGGGGGAGGAAGCCCAGTGCATTTCTGTCACTTGATGCTGAAAAAGCCTTTGACAGACTGCACTGGAGCTTCCTTGCAGCTGTCCTCGCAAAATATAATTTCCCCCCGAGATTCATGTCTCTAGTATCAGCATTATACTCTGCTCCGTGTGCCAAGGTAGCAAACAGCAGTTTTCAATCCACAAAGTTTCCAATCCCGAATGGGACCAGACAGGGTTGCCCCCTATCCCCCTCCTTTATGTTTTAGCCCTGGAACCTTTAGCGCATCTTATACGGAATGACCCGCAGATACAGGGAATTAGAGTAGGGAAAACAGAACACAAGATCACAATGTTTGCAGATGACATCATGCTAACATTCACAAATCCACACACGTCACTGCCACGTACTCTTTCGAGTAGGAGTTAGAAAACCAGGAGTTACTTGGAGTGGTTTGTATACTGTGAAGAGTGGTTTGTATACTGTGGAGAGTGGTTTGTATTTTATCTTTGTTTAATCTTTAAAATTGGTAAGGTTAAAAAAAAAAAATAAAGTTTTTTTTATTTTTATTTTTATTTTTTTCTGTGTTCTGGTTTTCCCCCCTTTTTTTGTGCTGCTGCTTGATTGATTGGGGGAGTGTTCATTAATTGCACCTGTGTGGGATTTGTATCCCCATAAAGGCACACCCCTAACTCACGGAGCTTGCTCACATTACTTGAAAGCCGCCTCTATTAAGTAGACTCTTTCAAGTAGGAGTTAGAAAACCAGGAGTTAAAACTAACAAGGGATTTAAACTAACAAGGTAATTGTTTTTTTTTTCTGTTTCAAGGGGAAATGAGTGTTAGCAAGATTGCTGGTTTGACTCAATGCACATCTTGTTGCATGTATGGATGCCTGGATGTACCCGTCCAGGGTCCATACCTCTGTGATGGTTGTGTGCGAGTGGCTTCTCTGGAAGCTCAGATTGGAGATCTCGAGAAGCAAATCGCAACTTTGAGGGAGATTGACAATCTTGAGAGGAGTCTACTGCTCACTGAGCAGAGTTTAGTGGGGACAGGTAGTGGAGAGGGAGGAGATAAGACAGATGGGGAACAGGCATGTAGCTGGGTGACAGTGGGGCGAGGAAGCAGGGGGGGAGGGAAGAGGAAAGGGCTAGCTAGTCCTGATTTGGTGCAACCTAGCAGATTTGCCCGTTTGAGGGAAAATGTTGGGAGCATCAGCTCAGGAGTAGCTGTATTAGAGGAAGCTGTTACTTCTTACAGCCGAGCTAACAGCCCCCCTAGTACGGGTGGGGATCAAAATGTAAGGAAGGCGACAGAGGTGTGATGACGTAGGCGCGTGTGAGCGTCTACGTGAGAGGAGGGGCGATATGGAGGAAGAGTGGCCGGCAGGGATTTTGGCAGCTTGAGGGAATGCTCGACAGGAGGAACCGCTGAGTTCTCGCTGGTTCTTTTTTCAACTCTTCAGCTATTCAGCTATTCTCAGCTATTCTCAGCTATTCTCAGCTTTAATCTGGAACTGGAATGCTGAATATCGAGTGGGTATTCGGAGCTCCCGGGCGGAGACGCACTGGGAATCTGGTGAGGTGTGAGGAGTCTGCGAGCGGTTGAAATGATAAGTTTGCTCTTTAATACCATGAGTGCAATAATGGAAGTGAGAGGGTGAAAGAGAGAAGGGTGGTGAGGAGGGAAGAGAGCATAAAACAATGAATTATTATAACGTATTAGGGGGAAGGAGAAAGTGGAGGGGAGAAAAAAAAATAATAATAAAAATCTTATAAAATTTATATATTATAAATACTGAGAATAAGACACAGAGACCTGCTCCCTGAAAAAGGGAAAGGAGAAGGAAAAGGAAAGGGGAAAGGGAAGAAAGAAAAGGGGAAAAGAGAAGAAAAGAAAAGAGAAAAAGGAGGAAAAAAAAAGAAAAAAAAAGGGGGGAATTTTTTTTAAAGAAAACAAAATGGCAACCAGAAAGCCACAGGAAGAAAAGAAAAAAAGAGAAAAAAAGACACCATTACTGACAAAAGGCTATCAGGATATTTCTCCCCTCCCCCAAATAAATTTCAATTGAATTCCGAAAATCAGGATAATTCCCCTCCCCCCAAATCTAACTCTAATCCCTCTCATGCTGCACAAGCAGGTAAACCCCTTACTGAAGAGACTCTAATTAATTACCTGGATAAATTTCAGGAGAACATTAAAGAAGACATCCAAAAAGGATCATTGGATTTAAAACAAGAATTAAGAAGTATGAAAGTCCAATTGGAATCCATAGAGTCCAAGATGATGCAAACTGACTTAAAATACGTACATATAGAGTCATTAATGACAGATCTGCAATCTAAGGTAGAACAATTAGAGGATAAATTAAATGACTTGGAAGATCGTTCCAGGAGAACCAATATAAGAATTCGTAATATCCCTGAACAAATTAATGACTCAACATTTAAAAAATTTCTAATGGAATACTTTGAGTCGGTACTATCTCAAGTTGGTTTACAAGATTCTGAATTAGAAAGATTCCATAGGCTACCTAGACCCAGAAATGTGGCAGAATCATCACCAAGAGACGTAATTGTTAAATTCCAATCCTTCCATATTAAAAATCAAATAATGAGCTCTTTGAGAAACAATCCGGTCATGGAAGAGAGATTTAAGAATCTGAAGATTTTTCCAGATTTATCTTTTCATACAAGAGCATGGCGGAAAAGTTTTAGCCAAGAACTATCCATTTTAAGAGCTAAAGAAGTGAAATATATATGGGGATTCCCCAAATGTCTCAGGATCTTCTGGAGAGAAAAAAAATGAAACATTTACAATTCTGGATGCCTTGAGAAAATGGATGGAAGAAAAATCAATATCGGGAGCAACATAATTACGGATAATAACTAATAATTGAAGATGCCTTGAAGCCGTCCGGATGAAAAAGGACAATCATAATTACATTTTTTTTTTTTTTAATTTTTTCTCTCGAATCACGATATCAAGATAGGGTGTGTGTGGGGGAGTAAGAACTGATAGAGGTAAAGTAGGGGTAGGAGATAACAATAAGTTAAATTTAAAGAACAAGTGTTGGTATAAGAGGAAGTTGGATTTATTGGTAATATGTTTAAGAAGTATGGAAAGAGTTAATATTATAAAGGGATAAATTAAGCATACACAGTGGGTAAATTTATAAAGTGTCAGGATGCAATAGTAATACGTATAAGATGTATGGTTGGATTTAACACAGTAAAGGGATGGATCCTGTATACACAGCAGGGAAATTTATAAAGTGTTAGGATGTATTGGTAATACGTATAAGAAGCACGGAAGGACTCAATATAATAAATGGATGGATTTTGTATACACAGCGGGGAAAGATATAATGTGTTAATGATTATATACAAAGAATTATTATTGGATCAAGGATGTAAAAATATATATTTTTTTCTCTCTCCAAAAGTAGCCACATGAGATAGTAGGGTGTTCTTAATAATAAGGAATATGATTTTCGGTCACTCTGATGCTATATTGCCCCACCAAGTGTCATCTTTTTTTGTTGACACAAATACCTTGATATGGTAACCAAAGATATCATCTTACGAGGACACAGATGGCCCTTGAGGGGTGAGTCGAGAGATAACCTCTCAGGAGCCAGGCTGTGTTGGGCCAGACTGGGTGTTTCTCCCATAAGGCTATTTTTGGTCTATGTGCAATGGACTATTTGTGTTTTATGTAAATGCATTGCAACTCTCTTGGGGTCAGTGGTAATAATGCTTTATGATTTAAAATGGTAAAGATGATTTCGGTTAATGTCCAGGGACTAAATTCTCCAACTAAAAAATCTCTAATTTATGATTATATGTTAAGAAATAAAGTGGAAGTAGGTTTCTTCCAAGAAACCCATTGGATAGATATGGATAACCAAGGTTGGGGTGGTTTAAAATTCCCCACAGTGATACATGCTTCATTAAGTGAAAAAAAAAAAAGAGGAGTAGCAATAGTTTTTCCCAAACATTAAAAGTGGGTATAATACATCAAATTAAAGATAAGGAAGGTAGATATGTTATAGTTTGTTGTAAACTGAATGAGATACCTTATACACTGACTAATATATATCTCCCCAATGATTTTCCTGCTCCAACCTTAAAAAAGGTTTTAGGTTTAATGGAATCCATTAAAATAGGCATGTGTTTGGTAGCTGGGGATTTTAACAGTGTATTGGACCCGATATTAGATAAAAAGACAACTTCAATATTATTACATCAAAAAAGAACAGACAAGCTTGCAAAATCTATTAAGAGAAATATGATACATTTTGACTATTTTGACTTATGGAGAACGATCAATCCTGGTTCATTGGAATATACGTTTTTTTCACGTGTACACTTGTCGTACTCTCGAATAGATA